ACAATATTTGAGAAGTGTTTTTGCTGACGTGTCGGACTCTCGGCTCTTGTTGAGTCCTTGATTTTACGTAATTACTTAAATACCTTCTATTAAATCAAGTCGAATATCAACTAATGTTCAATTACATAAATAACCCTAATAAGTGAATATTTGATATAATTTACATTTTATAAAATTAATAAAATTCGTAAACACGAAAAAATAAGAAAACCTAAAAAAAAATGGATCGATTGTAACATTTTTTAAAATTAATAATATTCGTAAACACGAAAAAATAAGAATCTATATATAACAATATTTGAGAAGTGTTTTTGCTGACGTGTCGGACTCTCGGCTCTTGTTGAGTCCTTGATTTTACGTAATTACTTAAATACCTTCTATTAAATCAAGTCGAATATCAACTAATGTTCAATTACATAAATAACCCTAATAAGTGAATATTTGATATAATTTACATTTTATAAAATTAATAAAATTCGTAAACACGAAAAAATAAGAAAACCTAAAAAAAAATGGATCGATTGTAACATTTTTTAAAATTAATAATATTCGTAAACACGAAAAAATAAGAAAACCTAAAAAAAAATGGATCGATTGTAATTTACGTACCAATTTAGAAGATGTTCATCGTACCTCATCATCATGTTCTTCGTCGCATGTAAACTTTTTAATATACATACCAGACTTGAAAACCTAAAATATAGCATATAACCAGAGAGAATCGACAATTTAGTGATAGAACATCATCTTTTGATCGAATCTCACATGATGGAAAGACGACTCTTAATTAATATCTTGTCCATGCCAAGTCTTCAAACCATCATATTGAATTATTGATGCTATCCTGCACCATAGAGTTCAAGCTAATAAAAGAGGGTGTTCTTTAAAATTACCTTGAATTATCTGATTGGATCATGCACGAATAATGAATATAGACTCGATGAAAGTGTATTAACCTCCATTGATCGTAATGAAAAACGTGGGATTTCGTAGAAGGAGACGGAAAATGGTCGTGTGTCTTCCTTTTTTTTTCTTTTTTTTTTCGTTTTGTTTTCCGTTTTTTTTTTGTTTTTTTCTTTCTTTCCCAACCAATCGTTTGTGATAATTATGAGTTAAAAATTAAATTTTCCTTTTTTGATAAGTAGATATTGGCAAAAAATATCAAAACAATCCTACGTATATTCTTTAAATCTGATTCATATCTCTAATAAAATTTTATTTTTTAAATATTTTATGTCGATAATGACGGAAAATCTAAACAAATGTAAGATATAGTAGTAAA